AGCATGCTTTTTTTGTATATTTCCTTTTAATATACATTTGAGTATCATAATGATAGTTCTTTTAACTACACTTACTAGTTTCAGTACCACTGGAGGTGTACCACATTTAACCAGTTCTTCAGTAAATATTTTTAAGTTAAAGATAATCAAAGTATACTTGCTTGCTTGTTTTTTTTTTAGTGGGCTTTCTGGTGTGTCCACTATGGGAAATTAATCCCCGATCAAAATATAATGTATATTTGAAATTAACTTAGTAAATAAATATATTTTTTCTTTAATACTACCTTATCAACCAATTCTTATAAAAAATAAAGCCAAGCCTTATTCTACACTTAATTTACATGTTGTACTTTTAATATTTTTCGTAAATAAAGAAGCATTTGTTACTGGAAAACCATGTATAGAGGACTGAATACATTATATTAAAATTACTTTGACCTTCAGCCAGCAAGTCATAGTTGACATAAAGTCACAGTGGAACAGAATGTATCACAACTATATGTTGATATATCTTGGTATTTCATAGGTAGCGCGATACTATCAAAAACTGATCACTTTTGGGAAGGGTATGTAACAGGCCTTCCTTACCAATGCAAACTATTCATATGCTCAGGTCATAAATATGTTTAGATTGGGGATTTAGGATTTTTAAGACAGGGACATCACTTGTACTTAATGCCATTGTAAAACAAAGGAATATGGATCAACTTTTGGCATCAGCATCATCTAGTCACACCCCATCCATGTTAAACTAAGTGATATGTCTTGTAACAATTGAGAATCCATTTAGTGGCAGAGACCACACACTTGTCTCAAGCAAACAGCTCACAACATAATCCTGAAGAATCTGCAACAGCAACAAATGTTACGTGTAGACAAGTTGTTTCCACAGTATATATCCATCTAACAATCACATAAATCAAGCAGCTGGAGAATGAAATGGGTAATCATGCTATTTTATAAGAAGGCATACTGGTCAAGTTGATGGATTTAATACCTACAGATTTCTGTTTGATTGAATCATTGAAACAGACACTGGAAAACAATTGTCCTTGTACACTAGATGGATTAATGAAAATGTTCTGGAGGAGCAATAAATCTGTAATTAAAAGTTTTATTTCAAAGGTCATCTGACAATGTATACAAGTAAATGTGTATAACAACATTTAAAAATACTTGAAAGCATGTGAGAGAAAATTAAAAAGTAATATACATAAATATATGTATTATTGAGTTTTAAAATAAAAATCCAAAAATGAGAATTAAGTAAAAGATAATGAATAAAAATAAAAGCAACTGAAAGTTTAGTTGACACATTATAAGTCATATATCTATAAAAAATAAAATAAAATGATGAAAAACAATAAATTAAGGAAACTTTAAAAAGAAGTTAAAAACTAAAGGATAGAAACATTATAAAATGCTAAAATATTCATTTAAACCAATGGGGTGCATAAATCCCAGGTGAAAAATTATTTTGTTTTCTTGTAGTTTGCAGTTATATCCATTCATAGGAGCTTTTCTCAAAACAAGTATCTTAAAATGTTGATAGGTATGGTTGTAGAAATTAAAGTGTTGAGCTATTGGTTTACCTACATTATAATTTGCCTCTGATATGTTTTATGGTACATCCTGCTAATAATATACTGGTTTCTCCTATATATAATTTTCCACATGTGCATGCATTAGAATATATGATGCATTTTGATGTGCACTTATATTAATTTGTAATGTAAAAACTCAGCTTTGGACCCTGCAAGGGTGTTCTTGGGTCAATGTAAGCACATGTGTCGCAGCACCTTCTACTACAAGAATACCTACATACAGTAATATTTTTGTTTGTGGAGGTGGGTTTTTGAAGGTTGCTGTAAACTAAGGAGTTTCCAGTATTAGTATTTGGATGGTAGGAAACTAAGTGTAGGATTTTGGAAATACAGGTTTAGAGGTTTCAGATTTCTGCAAAATGTGAAAATTATTTAGAATAATGTCTTTAACCTGGTTGTTGGTTGGGTGATACCTAAGAACAACAGGTGGTCTGGCACAGAACTGCTTAGGATTTATTTCTGTGAGAGACGAAGAGGAGTTGTAGCCTTGACTTACAACAGTAGTACAAGCTTTTTTTCAGGATATTTTGGGGGTAGCCACAAACATGGAAGTAAAACTCCAATTCTGTGATGCATGCAGGTTCACTATACAGTTTCTGTAAACTAATGAATTGGGATTTGGGGAAGTTATTTTTCACATGTATTGGATGGCTAGAATTAAAATATAAATAGTTTTGGTGATTTGTGAATTTATAATGAATGCAGATCATGATTTTATTGGAAGTTATAGAAATAATAAAATCTAGAAATGGAAGTGACAAATCAGAAATGTTATGCATGTAGGTCAGTGAAGGATGGAAGTTATTTATCCGAAAATAATTATTTCTAGTTCATATAAACTGCCTGTGAAGATTCCAACATCATCATCAATATATCTCTTGTAAAGTGATTGGAACTTGTTTGGACACATCATTCTGATTTAGAAGTTTCTTATCTTTTTATTATAGAGGACAAGAGCAATAGAGAAGAGAAGAATGGGCTGCTTTTGATTATGTATGGTTGGGGAACATAATTCTTTTACTTATTTATCCTTTTTTCCAATTTATTTCCCCTTTCATATCTTATACATTATTTTATTGCTATTAGTATTTTGAATTATTTATGTTTTCTTGTGGTTGGCTTGCTTGTTCTTTATGTGATTATATTACTGGACAACTACCTTCCCATAACTGACTGCAGACAGTTAGTGTGTAGTTAGGTCTAAGACATTATGGGTTCAAGCATCTGAACCAGACCTTCCAATAATTTCAAATATGTTCACTTTTTGCTGCACAGCACATTCTTACCTGCATTGATTGAAAAGATAGACTCTCTTCAATGCCATTTTAATGCTAGTATGGAATTATATACCACTCATGACTAAAAGTATTTTTGACATTTTTTATATATATATATATTACTTTCTAATTCTCTCTCATATTGCTCAAGTATTTCTAAACATTATGATAAACATTTATTTGTTACTGCATCATCCAACTTTTGAAACAAAACTTCATTTATGGATTAACAGTTCAGCTACAAATTGTCAAAATATAGTATTAACAACAAAATTATATATTAAAAAATATGTATCTGTAATAGACACTCTGTAGTTTTTAGTGGTTTAACCTACAACGTACTTCCCATTTTTCTCTTTCAACAATCACCACACATATCTTTATACACAGCCTTACAACAGAGCCTACTGTAATGTGAATCATGCTGTAGAGTTATTGTGAAGATGCATGATCATCAAATACAGCATGACTATATGTGCAACATAGACTGTAACAATGTGGGGAGGCTCCAAAACAATTTCAATATAACATACTCAACCTCTGTAATCACCTTTATTGTCCTAAAATCTCAGTCAAAGAGGCTTGCTTACCTAGCATTACCTTAATTTGACCCATTAGTAATGACCCTAGACTACAATAGGTAGATGCATGGATACCAATTACTAAAAATCTCTTAGTACACCTCACTATTGTGTATAATTTAAAAAAAGAAAAAAATGCTGCAACATAATCATCAAGTATGATTCTTCACTTGTATATGTACAGTACTGTGCAAAAGTGTTGGGACAAAGTCAAAAATTACATTTCAACTACTTTCAAACAACAATGGAAGGTAAATCACAGGTGAAACATCAAAATTTTATTAATCTTCATATTTTGTACAACAGAAACTCAGTGTAAGTGCTTGAGTTCAGCAAACAGTTAATATTTTGTGTGTACCCTTTTGCTTTAATAACTGCAGACAGTCTTTTATGCATTGTTGCAGCATATTTAATGAAAGTGTCCTTTAGGATTTTACTCCAAATGTCTCTAATACACTCCCATAAAGTTTCTTTGGAAGCAACTTTTGATTTGTCAAGTTTTTGATCTATAAAATCCCAGGTCTGCTAAATTGGGTTGAGATTGTGGCTCTGTGGGGGCCATTGCATCATTTGAATGATTCCAGCAGCTTTTTTCTTATCTAAGTAATTTCTGCATAGGTTGAAAAAGTGTTTGGGGTCATAATCTTCTTGGTAGTAGAATCCTTTACCAATAATACACAAACCACTAGGTATACCATGACAGACCAGTATCTGATGGTACTTGCACTGGTCCATTATTCCATCTGTCTTAAAAGCAAATATCTCCTGTCACATCAAAAGAAAAACACATCCCAAACCATCACACTGCTTCTCCCATGCTTCATGGTAGGTAATATGCATTGAGGTAAGTATCTCTCACCTTTCTTCTGCTGGACATACAACCTACACTTTGAACCAAATGTTTCAAACTTGGACTCATCCATAACACCCTTTTCCAATCACTAACAGTTCAGTTTTTGTACTTTTTGAGCAAATTTCAGTCTCTTGACAATACTTGGAGATCGAAATTTGATCATTATGTTCATTCAAGCAAAACCTTTATGACATGCCCTTGGTACAAGTATATGGGAATTTTAAAGAATGATAATTATTCTCACCCTGTCTCATTCAATTGTCAACAGAGATCAGTCAAACATTACCATAGTGTTGTAATTTACATTCTGTAATGGCATGGAAGAATTAGCCCCATAAAATGGAAAGAATAACAAAATATTCTCTTGTCCTAACACTTTTGCTCAGTACTGTATATATTATAAACACAAATATACAAGCTGTGATACAATCTTCAAGTACCATAGCTACTGATAAGCTGTTACAGTAGTTTTAACTTTTCATTTATATCTACATATTAAATATAATGGCAGACATTTTGGAACATAAAGTTTATGATTTTTCTAATACAATTATACCAAAGAAAATAGAAATGTATGTAACAGAGTATCAATTCTTAGTGTCTATGGAATTAAACTTACATAAAAATGATATGGAACTTAAGATGTAAACTATAGCTTATGAACAGTTTGTACAACAAAACTTACCACAACAGGTTTTAGATAGCTAATAAACAAACAGTATCGACTTCGTTCTTCAATCATAGCTCGTCTCACAGCTTGTTTTTCAGTTTCTTCCAATAGCAAACATTTATCATTCACATCCTGCAAAGCTGAGTCCAAGGTTTGTTGGACTTCACACTTCCCCGACACTTTGGAATAAAAGGTGGTAAGTTTGAGAGAAATACACATACTGTTGTCTGCAATTGCTTACAACTATTCCTGGAACTGACTTTTGAATTGTAGGCTTGTGAAAACTGTAGATTAAATCTAGTTCCTCAAGGGTCAGTGTTTGGACCTTTGCTTTTTCTTATTTACATTAATGATAATTATAGGGACATAATTAGCAACTTAGTAAGATTTGGTGATGACATTAAACTCTTGGGTATTTCCAACACTACTAAGGACGTTGATGTACTACAGAATGAAGTGACTCAATACTGGATCTTAAATTATAGGAAGAACAAAATAAGTACATTTGATATCATAATTTATATAGACAGGAAGCCACTCAATAGCATGAATAATGATAATAATTTTACCATAGTGGTGAAAAAATCATTTGAACCATTATGGTAGTGTTCTGTTGTTAGTAGTAAAGTTAGCAGAATTTTATAATGTATTTATAGAAACACTGATTATATGTTAACAGAGGTAACTATCACTCTATACATATCACTGATTAGGTTACATTTGAAATTCTGTGTATAGTTTTGGCTTTCTTATCTGAGAAAGAACACTGTCTTATTGGAAGGTGTTCAGGGGAAGGCTACTAGGATGATTATGAGGACAGAAGGGTTATCTTATGAAAATAAGTTAAGATCCCTTAACTAATTTACTCCAATGAAAAGAAGGGTAAGCGGTAATTTTATTGGAGTTTACAAGATTATCCATTAGATTAATAGGATAAAGGCTTCTGATTTCTTTTAGCTGTATTCTGAGAACAAATGGACAAGAAATGAAAGGTTAAAATGTGGAAAATACAGGTTACAGTTCAGATAATAGTTTTATTTTTCTAACATGGTGATTAGCTTATAAAATAAGTTGCAATCAGCACTAGTGAATACCAGCACCTTACAAGAACTTAGAAAGGTGAATGGGTGATTCTTGACACAAATGGTGTGTTTAATTGTTACTTTTCTTTTTTTCTTGGGGTGGAAGTGCAGGATCAGTCTTGAGAGATAAAATGATCCCTTGTTAATAATATGTTATGTTCGAGTAAAATGAGATTATGATAAGAATTCCTCACCTTGCATCAGGTTGTTGATCATTTTTGTATAGTACTACTTATCAAAACAAGTATTACCCGTAAATCAATTTTTTTGCAATAGTATTACATCTGCAGTACAATTAACACTTTTCTTTCAACATGTTAAGTTATGTGTACTGCTTATAAATTGCATTCTACTCTACTAATAACAAGCTTGTATTTAAATTTAAGCACCTTTCTTTAATTTGACATGTTCAACCTGTACCAAAATATAAACACCTTGTACTTGGTATCCAATTTGTGCTAAGTATTACAACAAGAAATATGTAACTGTATCCTGAACAATATAGCTATTTTTTTGTATTAAATGTTAATCACCTCTTTATTTCATGTAACTAATTTGTAATACACACACACACATATAAATGGATAAATTGTATGTATAAATCATTATCCCATGAATTAAACAGGTATTTCTAGGTTTTTAAATACTTTTTATTGCACTGCTTAATACTAACTCAATATATTTTATTTTTGCAACACTTCACTAAATGTCTACCACTATTTGAAAATGTTACCTTTGCGTGCCTTCTTCTGTAACCTCAGGGTGTCTGTAGATTTCTTCTTGATCTCTTGTCTAGACCTTTTGTATTCTGTCAAACAGTCAAAAATCAGTTTCATAACATTGTCATGCAGCTCAAAACATTTCTGCCCACACTTAAAGTTCAGTTTTCATACACTATCAGGGTAAATAACTGCATTTTACCCCCAAATTAATGATCACACTTTCAAGTAAGCTTACTTGTGGTCTAACCACATGTAAACAATAAATTTAATTACTCTATTAAGTTTCATAGCTGTAGTAACTGATAATTATACCCTTCTCTGACTAATTTAGATTATATATTTCATAAGCTATATTCAAGTAATTTTTTCTACATTTTTATGAAAGTGTTCTTTATGTAGTTATAGCCATAGATATGTAATAACCCCTTTGCTTCAGTAAAGGTCACATACAGTAATAGCCATGTTATGGAAGTTTGTAGCAACTTGACCCTGTGTTTGTATCTACTACTGGGGTTTGATAAGCCCATATGAGGGGGTGACAGATACATGTACAAGTTGGTATGAGTTGTGGTTCTTTTTCTTGAAAAAGTTATTTGGTATATTCATTTACATAAATAATCTAAAGATTGTGCAATACTGTAGTAGGAACCCTTTTTCTGACATTAAAGTGATTTATTAACTCTTTTTCATGTTTTTATGTCATACAGACATTTTAGGAAAATATTTTCAAGTTCCAGGAATTAGTTGGTCATTCTGTGAAACTTAGAAGCCAGCTAGCAAATGAAAGACACACATTTATAACATGTTGTAGGAAAACAGATTTTTGGTTTCTAGCACTACTTCTGGAACAGATATGCTCTTCACATTGTAAAGAAGAAAGGAAGACACATAGGGCAGAACCAAAGAGAATACATGGCTAGGGCTAAAGGACTGTAAAAGTATATAAATAGGGTAAGTGCAGTCTGCCTGGCCACAAAACATCCAGGAGAAGTGCCTTGGGATATGATGGATTATGCCTTATGTCAAGTGTGACCCAAGGGCAAAAACAACATGGAAATGCTTTGCATCAGTTTATAAGATCAACAAGTGCTATCTGCCTGGGCAGAAAACCTCCAGTGAAAGTGCCTTGTATGAGATTGATCCTGGTATATTGTGACTGTAACAAAATATGAGATCAACAAGTGTGGTCCACCCAGGCAAAATACATCCAGAGAAAGTGCCTTGTGTTAGTTAGGGATATAGATATACCACCGGATAAGTGGCCAGTGGTCTTACAGAAACACCCCATCTCCACAGTGAGCATCAGAAAAATATGCAGTGAGAGTGCTAAAATAAAAAATCCAGTATACTTGACCAGGCAGCACCTACAACTAGGTGAGATCATGAAAGAGAATGTTAAGCAAGTGTAATAATAATAATAATAAAATTTATATATTATGTCAACTTATCCCAGTAAAAGGTGAACAGACATTTGGAGAATTGTCACAGGTGGAAGATGATTCCTGACCGAGAAAGATACAGCTAGGTCATGCAAATAATGTGCAACGAAAATATTGGGAGTTCTCCATGTACCGGCTTGAATAATCTCTTCCAAAGGACAGAGCAACTAAGGACATAGTTAAATGCCATAGTTGGTGAGAAGAAACATTAAACAGCTGATGACCTTCCACCGGCAAATCAGAATAAACTAGACGTATGAGTTGCCAAATTCAGCCAATAAGGGTAATAGGAGAAAAAACATGGGAAACAGAGGGATTCTACGGAATAAAGAGGCAAAAACAGGAACCACAAACAAAATCATTACAAGACATATAACAACAAAGGGAACGAACAGAACAAAGATGACAATCCAGATCTGAACGAGAGTATAAAAGGGAAATAGAAGGCAAGTAAATAGAAGAAAAGGCGATACAACCTTCACGAGCAGCAGATGTTTTAGGAAGGAAGGAATGATTGGGATAAATGAGAATATAAGAAGAATGGTAAAGGGTGCAGGAAACATTAATAGCATAAATATCAGATTGATGATGACTACAAGCTAGGAGGAAAAGGAAATAGGTCTTAAAAGAAAGATGGTACAAAGAACCACTTAGTAATGGTTTCAAACGGAGAACAAGCCAAGGCATGAAGAACCACATTGAGATTTCAATCTGGAAGCACAGAGATGGTATGGACGAACAAGATGAAAGGAATAGAAAAGGAGGGAAATAATAGGGGAGGAGAAGGAGTTATGAAAATGGGAGAAATAGAAGGTGTTGGACAGGGCAGCCCGATAACTAGAAACAATGGACATGGACAAACCCTGATCAAATGATCAGGTAAAGAACTGGGACAGATGAGGAACAGATGGACATAAACCATGGTGAATGGACCACTGTCTGAAGGCATACCAATGTCTCTGATACACAGACAAAGAGGAAGGTTTAATGGTATAGGTAAGCAAAGATGCTACACAAGAGGTGAGCAGAGGTGATGGACTGGCCAAAATTAATGCACGAAGATGGAGTTTGGTAACATTGAGATGAAACACGTCCGTTCATGGTTGTCAGAGGAGTGACTTGGACTGAGGAAAGGGCAGGGGTGTTACTCCAGTAAGGGCCAGAGCAAAGAAAACCATAACTGAGCAGGACAATACAAAGCCACAAGCAATACATGCCAAAGAGCGGTCTGGATGAAGGAAACTACTCTGGAGATGAGTATAATTGAAGGGTAAGCATAAAGATGAAGGCCTATCCAATCTTGACTGAATGCATCCACCCCAAAAGATAAGAGGTGTGGGTACAGGATGCCAAAAGGAAGGAAGATTGGTATTCCAGTGAGTGGCAAACACATCAAAATGCAGTGTTCCTAGGCAAAAACACACCCATTGAAAAACCTCAGGATGAAGAGACCACTCCATAGGAAGGACTTGGTTGGGATGGGACAGGCGATCTGCAACCAGATTCATAATTCCAGGAATATGACATGCCAAGATCGTTATGTTGTAGTTGTGGACCCAGTACAAGAGGTAAAGTGTTTGAAAACACAGAGACCTGGACTTGGTTCCCCCTTGTTTGGAAATATAGCTGGTGACAATGGAATTGTCAAAATGAATCATAACCAACTGCCCCTGCAAGAATGGGAGGAAATGATTGAGAGACCTACGAACCAAAAAAAGTTGCAGAAGGTTGATATGGAAATTATTCTCTTCAATGGACCACTGACCCAAAATCTCCCAAGAGTCGTGGGAAGCCCCCTACCCACCAATGAAGCATTTGTGAACAAATAAGAGTCAGGACAAAGCAGGAAAGCACAACTCTCACTGTGGTAAGAGCCCTGTCAAGCCACCAAACAATGTCGGCCCTGATCCTTGGGGGAAGGGTGATAGGGTGGCCCAAAGGAGCATGGGAGAAGTTCCACTGGTCAAGAAGCATCCACCACAGGGAATGAGAGCTTCCAGGAAGACACATCCCCAAAAGAGATAGAACTTCTTGAGCAGTAAGAGAAAGAGAAGATAGTGTTTGAGCAACTGTCCACTCCATATCCCAGAGACAAAGTGAAGAAGGCTGGGCCCAAGTAAAATAGGAATTGAAGAGAACTCCTAATTGAATAAGCTATTGTATGGGGGTTAGAATAGACTTCTCTAATTTGATGAGAAACCACACCCAGGAAGCAGGTGTGAGTGACAGACTGAGCCTGGGAAGAGGTGAGCAGAAGCCAGTCATTCATGCAATGATGAGTCTGAAGACCCAATGAATGAAGATGACGTGCTAAAGAACACACAACACAACAGAATACATAAGGAGCCGAAGCAAGACCAAACAGTAGTGCTTGGAATTGAAAGACCCCCCCCGTAGATGAACCAAAGATAACAACGTGACTCTGGAACAATGGGAATATGAAAATAAGCATCCATCACATCAGATTTGGTCACCCAAAGACCTGAAGAAATACTCACCGAAGGATAGGTAGGATTCCATGGTGTATTAGGATGTTTCCAGAAAGGTATTCAGCCAGGACAGATCAATGATAGGTCTCTAATCTCCTATCTTGTTGGGGACACCAAACAGATGGGATTAAAATCCTAGAAGAATTGTCACCACCCATTCAATAGCTCTTTTGTGAAGAAAGTCTCAAACTGACTCTTGCTATACAAGTGGACGAGGCATGATTCCAAGGAGGAGGAAAAAAACTAGGATAAAAGATAGGGGATAAGACCAGAACAGGAGGCAAAGACTCTCTGACAGAACATGTGAAGAGTTCCAAGAAGGTTGAAAACCATTGTGACCTGGTCCCCACCTGCCCTTGAAAAGACATTTAATCACCACTGATGCTGACCCCTGTAGAAATGGGAACTGGAAGAACGAGTGTATGGAAGGGAAGGCCTGGAGTAGGGTAAGGGAAGGGGAGCGGAAGAAGGGATATGGGGAATCCTAACAGGTGAAGATTGGGCAGCAACAGTAAGATGAGACAAACGAGAGGCGAGGGAGAATAAGGAGGAATGTAGCCTTGCCACATTGACCCTAGACTCTAAAGACTCAGGATGACCCCAAAGACTTTTGTAAAGAAACGGGACTTGACAAAGATCCCTCACAGGGGAAGATGCATCCCGTAATGTAATACATTATGCCCCAGCAAATCCTAACAACATAAGATCCAAGTGGTGAGAGACAGCACCGAAGCTGACAAATGGGCTATGTTGGACCACAGAAAGGTCCTGAGTTCTGTCGGGAACTGATCAGGATACTAGCAGAAAGCTTGAGATAACAACTGTAAAGAGGAAATAATATGTAAAAGGGTGGTCAAAGGAAGACAAATCCTAGAAAACTGGGACTGATTAAAATTAAATAAAAGTATCAGGATTACAGCCCCACAAAAGAAAGAAAGGATCAACACATTGTGAATCCAAATAGAGATTTGAGGGACATTGGTAAGAAAAAAAATACTAATCCAACAGCCGAGGGGGATGGGGCATACCCACACCCGACTGCAACTGATCAGCAAAAAGTTGAACATGAACAAGAACACTGGGTGAGAGAAAAAAAAATAATAATCAGGATGAGGATCATCATGGAACAAAGAAGAAGAAGAATCAAGGGCTAAAGGCAAAACATATAAAATTTGACATACCTGATCAATAAGTTGTAGGAAAGGCATGGTTGGCAAACTCTCCTGACTGTCAACATTACGTGATTGGCCAAAAAAAGTTGGGACTGGAAAAAATTGTTATTATCTGATAAAAAACTTCCCCAGAAGTGTGTTCATGGGGGAAAAGGAGAATGAACTGAAGAACTAGCAAAAGCATTCAACTCCTGTGGATTAAAGCATAAAGCTCCTCAGCCGATATCATTAACCTGGGGACTACTGACATTACCATTGTCCATATTGGTGGGAACTTCCTCATCCGCCACAGTAAAATTTGAATTCATAAGTCAACTTTGACTTCCAAAAAAAAATGTAAGAAATGTTTAACAATAAATGTGAAACATCAAAATTAACTATTAACTCAAAACTTTAAGCTGAAACTGGCAAGGAACCAAACATGAACAAGCAGGATTCACAGGAAGAACACAGTAAACATGTCTAAACACTGTAGTACCAATCATGAAAGTGAGGATTGTGCTGCAATGGTAGAGGAAGCTACCTGCACTAGTATATGTGGCACAGTATAATTAATGGAGGGTGGTCACATGATTAGCACATTTTGCTGCAATGACACAAAAATGAAGAGATATAAAAGACTGGTAAATGGTTCAAAATTTTAGCAATGCTTAGAGGGCAAATCAAAGTCAACATAGCTTTGGGTGAGTAGAGGGTAGTAGGGTAGTACCATTTTGGAATATAGTAATCATCTTGTAATCAGCAGACAAACCATCATTATTAGTAACTTACTGTTTTAGTTAAAAAAACCTTTTTATTTATTTATTTATATTTATATATATATATATATTTTAGTTTATGAATTAAATGTTCATGACAAAATTAGTGTCACAGAAATGTTTGTGCAGCACAGCTATTTGAATACCCTGTCACACAACTAGCTGGCCCAAAAGACTGGCATAAGAAAGAAACATTCCAACATACACCGGGTGCACATGGACTCTACATACCAGCAGGGAATGAAATGTCATGCTTCGTGTTATGTGTCAGCATTAATAAATATTCATTTATGCAGTTTCCAAAATAGTTGATATCAATCCCCTGGAATCGATGAGACTGTACAGGGGTGAATAAAGACCTAGAAGTCGACAGGGGGTTGAAAATGGCCACTAGGGTTAGATTGGCCTATGCAACTAACTGCCTTACACCTAGTAGCAATAGCGAGCAAATGACATTCGTACCTTTTCTCGAATCTTCCACAATGTATAAGTTCACAATCAATAAAAAATACATATTTTAAAAATAAATTTTTATTTAATTATTTGTTTTATTTTATGCTTCTTAAAAAATATTAATTTGGGGTCAATGACATATTTATAAGTTTGTCAACTCAAAAACGTTTCAGAAACCCTGATTTATGCTCTAGATAATTCAAAATACAACAACACTACTTATTTAGTGTATATTAACATTAGGTAGTATGCAAATACTACATATATTACTCTCCTGTAGTATATATGTGTTATCTGCCAATTGTTTTAATGTTTTGAAGTTCTGATTTTGGAACACAATAAATCTAGTTGAAATTTTGTACAAGTCAGCTAAGTGTTAATTTTTAGCTTGCCCAGTCAAAGAATTTATCTACTGTTTCATACGATAGTTGCATTTTGTCATACTTGACCTCTTGTATGAGGGGATACCTTTGCGACTATCATACATGGAACAGAGTTACATCTGCATTCTAGTACTTGGTTTCCGATTGGTCAGCTAATGAGAGGAGGTGTTTTGTGAATAGATTTAGAACTCAAACCAGATTAATTCTGATCCTTATGGAAAGCAGTCATTTCTGTCCCAAAAGAGCCAAAACTTGCTGGTAAAGTTTTGCCCATGTTTAACCTTTTATCCATTATTTTTGCTGATCAAATGTTACATTTACTTTACCTTTAAGTAGCTTATTTTACTTTTCAGTTCAATACATCACAATGCATTATTCCTTTCCACCTGTCTATTTTCTTCGACAAATAAAATGTCCCAATTTTATGCTTCAAACATCAATATTATTTGTTGTCTCTCTGAATCCATTTGCAACAGAAAATTAAAATTTCAGGCCAGCAGTTAGGCCGCTTGACTCGCAATCTGTGGGTTCAACACCCCATCACCAAACATGCTCATCCTCTCAGCCATGAACACATTATAATGTGACAATCAATCTCACTATTTGTGGAAAAAGAGTAGCCTAAGAGTTGGCGGTAGGGACAGCTAGTGCAGATAGTACTCGAGCAGCTTTGCATGAAATTCAAAGCAAAACAAACCAACAACTACAATTTTTCCTTCCACATAATAAAGCAAGTTTGTCCTTCAATTATCACAGATTTCTGATTCAAACAAATTTTTGGTGCCAACAAGCATGATTTAATCATAATACAACAAGTAATGTTATATGTGTATATATATATATACAATTCTTCCAGATTACTTTGCTCTTATGTTTTTTGTGACATATAATACAACAGATGTGTCTGTGTTATGATAGCAAATCTGGTAGAGTAGGGTTATCAAAGTGATATGAGGTTGAGGATGGAAGAATCTCGATAAGCTTGGAGGAGTCTCCTGTTAAACACTTAGTGTTCCCCTGCATTCTAACAAATGTTTTAAAGCTTTACACTTCAACCACCTACTAAGATAAGTTAACTGTGACCTGTTCCATTAGTTAATGCTGATAAAGTCAGCCACCCTGAGCAGGTCAGCAGAGCTCAAGGATGCAAGTGGAAAACAGCCAAGAGAGATTTAATGATCATGGATTTGCTAAGACTTATTGAGGCAGTATGTATACAACAAGCCATGGAGACTGGCATCTATTGCTGATGATATACCTTGTTGGATAACTCTTTTGGAAGCAGCCAAAAAAAAGGAGATGTAATGGATGGCCAATGTTTGTCAACCGTCTTCTGCCCATCTCCTAGAGGCATTGTTCCCATCATAATATGTACATGATTCCCCATCATGGATCACATAAGACATATTTTGAGTAATCCTGGAGCTCTCTTGTTAGAAGAGGAAGAATATTGATGGGACAAAATATTTTCATAACAGGAATGTTACAACTTTAACTTACACTCCTGAATGAGTTTTTCTAACCAGTCAGAATTATTTTGACTCTGCTTTTTCAATCCTGATGTCGTCTATTTAGGATCAAGTTCTTAGCCCTTCTGGTTATTTTCATGTTTTCAATCTGCCAGATGGAGTTCAGTATGCTTTGTTTTGCAAAAAACTATACTGAATATGGACAATGGAAGGAACTAATAGTGAGACTTTCATATTTGACTTTTCAGATATTGCCAAGTTTCTAGCATTGCCTACCACATCTGAGGCTGGTCTTACTTTCATGTCTAACGTGCAGGCTCTGGAGTCTACAACTGTAGCATTAGCTCTCTAGGCTGAAAAACACTGGAAAATGCCACCTGCTATCTCACCAATAGTAGTCGTTAACTAATTTAACAACTTCCAGGTCTAAGCAAGATATTTACAGTTAGTGTGATCTTTGTCAATGTTTCAACAATTACTTTATTTAAAGGTACTACTTGTCAACTTTGTTACAAGTATTAGGTTTAAACATTATGCTTACTTTAAAGGACAGTCCTTGTAGTCTTTCTGAACTTTGTAAAATATATTACTAACTTATCTTTAGTGTAGTCTTTGACAACACTGCAAAAATTACGTTTAAGAATATATTTACCTTTAATGTTTGTGGTTATTCTTAAGTATGTGTAAAAATAACCAGGTTTAAGCATAATATATATTATTGGTGTGACCCTTAACAATTTTTTGACAATTATGAGGTTTAAGAATGTCACAATTATTATACCTTTAGTGTATTCCTTTCAACTCTGTAACAGTTACAGTTATAAAAATTACACTTACTTTAATGTCATCATTGCCAACTTTGTACAAATTACCAGATTTAAATGTTACATTTATATTTAGCATGGTTCTTTTGAACTATGAAACACTTGTTAGGTTGAAACATCATATTCACCACTGGGTACCATTTGTAGCAGCATACTTACCTTTAGTATGTTCCTTGTCAAGTTGTGTAGCTGTTTTCTTCCATTCTTCCAATTTGTTTTGAAGAGGTATAACCAAACAGTCCATGAGTGCACTATAAAACACAAACATCTGAAATTTATACTATTATATTACACAGTCAAACTGAATTACGAGAGACTTTGATAATCAAGTAACTCTTTGTGAACCAAAATTTCAGAGTCAGTCTCTATCAGTTAATTAGATAGGCTAAAGTCATCAACTGCTATGAGATCAATTTATTTGTGCATGAACTAGATAACATGGCTGACAGAAATTAATAGTAAGCACAGTGAAAATCCTGACCCAAGTTACCAGTTTTGTTAAGTAGAAAAAGGAAAACTTGGTTATTTTTTTGCTGAGTTGTTACACTTTGATACCTTTTATATTTCAAATATATAACCAACTGCATATAAATACTTTTAGTAGCTACACAGCTAGATTTAAATAGTAGTGGTGTGGTATCTCGAGGATTTCTGGCAAAGCAGAGGCCATGAAAACAGGAAATTCGAAGATCTCATATGCAGGGGTGTTTCCCAATGGTTGTGATGGCTGGGCCATAAAGAATGAGACAGGACACACAGACTTATGCAAGGAATCAATTCTTAATTACAATCTTGACAGTTTACAGAAAAACAAACAACCAAGTACTATTACACAACTAAGGTCCAGTGAATGTGCATTTATTTGACAAAGAGTGACAAAGGCTAGCATTTAAAAATAAAAATAAATTACAAACAGTGTGTCCCCAAATTAAAATGTAACACAATAAGTTAACTCTTAATTCAACTTCACTAACTAACAAGAATGAGCTGTACTTTATACACAAACCTTTGTTCCAATATCCTGTGGGGCAAATTATACACTATTAGCAAATGGCAAACCTAAACAAATACTTAATTAAATTATTGGTGAAAGCCAAACAGCACCTGCACAAATGAAAGTTAACTTTAAAGTTACAAGAGAACTTGAAGCGTTCTTGGCACGTAAAACTATGCAAAAATATACAAACCTCTTATTGACAACTGAAAGTGAGAACTTTACTAAGATTGAACACATAGAAGAGAAAGTTACAAAACACTACATGAAAATCTGCTTTCTCCCATGCTCCAACACTGTTTTAGATGTTAAAATAAACCCTTGAGTTTCTGACATAAAAAAACAGTGATTGATGCCTGATACATCAGTTGGCTGTGGAGATAACAAGTGAGTCCATCCATAACTACTGCCTGATTGGTCAACCAGAATTGCTTGGTGTGCTATATGAACAGCATATTTTTATTCCTGTAAGAGAATCAGACAAGAAGGTGCCTAATCTCCACTTGACCCAATTTGCCCTATGAAAAAATGAAAGTTGGTAACCCTCTTGAGCATTGCCACATTCCAATTTTAGGAATTATAGTGAAAAAGAAAGGAAATTTAACAACTTAATTTTAAACTAAAAGGAGTGAAGAAAATGCAGTAAAGTTTGATACTGCAGTAGTATTTGAAACATTACTCATATAAATCACACCACATCTGTACACACGTTCTACTCCACATTTTAACTCTTTCAACCAAGGCTCAGTCTCTGGGATCGACCTCATAAGCATTTTGTGCTTGTTATAGTTTTCATGCTATAACTTAAATTAGTAAGCGAATGTTAATGAAATTTGTAAGTTTATCAGTAAACATTACAATGTTTTCATACACAAAATATATATATTTT